GGTTGCTGAAATTTGTAAAGCCCTCCCCTGATTATGATCCGGATTAGAAGCTCCAACGGCTACGCTTTCCTATGGTCACATTTTGGACCCTGGGCAAACGGCCCACATTTCTAGCTTTGTTGGCAGCATCCTGTAGTCACATGACCATCATTTATAATCTTTTTTTTGGTGGGGGGAAACCGATATTTAAGATCAAGGTTAGATTAGTGTCAGGCCTCCAACATGCACCCCCATTCAAATCACAAGTCTCTAGCCGCATCTCTCAAGTGTAAAAAAAGATTGATTTATTAGGAGTTGACCTGTCGGCGTTTCCTGGGTGCAGCCAACTCTAAGACACATCCTTCATTTCCCCCTTGACCCTGGTCTTCCCCACCCCCCTGGATGTATATTCTCCAATGGGACACATCCATAGCCCAGAGTCATCAATCAGGCTCTCCAGTAATACTCTTGTGCGCCAACAGCTTCAGCTGCCGAGGCGATTATCTGAGGCATTTGAGGAATGCACTGCTTTCCCCCATTCCCTTTCTGCCAGGCAACTAAAAAGACCAAAGGAGTATGCTTTAGTTGACAATTAGATGTACAGATTAGATTAGATAAGATTAGGATTAGAATTAGAATTAGATTATATCACATTTTGATTAGATTAGACTAGACTAGATTAGATTGAGATGAACAACCTAGATTAGCTCACCTCTCCTTGGGATCTTTGAAGACCCAACACCTCCTGGAAGACCCCAGATTGGGGAGGTCTAGTTCCCCTGGTCATCTCCAAGCCAGTATGTCTATGATCGCCCATGATCACTTCCCTCTTCTATGATCAAACCTGACCTGCCCCCGGTGGAGATTAACTCTGAGGGAGAGGAGGAACAGCTGACAGGGAGTGGAAGTGTGGCTCCGGAGGTTGTGGAGGAGGCTGGGGAAAGGCAGAGGCCAGCTGGGCAGTCAGAGGAGGACCCAGGCCCAACCCCTCTCCATCCTAGGACATGCAGGGAGGAGAGGATAAGGGAAAAACATGAATGGCATGGTCTACGGGGGAGGAAAGGGTCCTGATCCCCTTCATGGGCTGCAGCTATGAGAACTGTTTAAAAGGACGGACATGCGTATGGGCCAGTGCTGGAAACAAAGCGTGGAAATATCTCTAGTTTATAGTTCCTCTCTGAGTTTGGCGTCCTTCCCAGTGTGTGTTATCTGTGGACATCCTCCAGCCCTTATCTTGCCTGGTTTGTGTTGCCTTTTTCCTTCTTCGTGTAAAATGTGCGGGAGTTATTTTGTCTTCCATCAAAGATATTCGGAGCTTGGAAACAAACTGAATGAATAAAAGGGGCGTCACCTGTTTTCTGGGAGCATGTTTGCTTTGTATCCCACCCTGGGGCATCACAAAACCTGAAGAACATCCTCGCAGCCCTTACCTGTCCACACTGATGACGCAGAGGGTCATGATGGAGGCGGTACAACACATGACGTCCATGGCAATGAAGAGGTTGCAGAAGACTTCCCCGAACAGCCATTTGCCTCCTACCAAATCCGTGATGATCACAAACGGCATGACCGCCAGGGCGACGGACAGATCTGCAGCGGCCAAAGAAACCACCAGGTAATTGGACGGTTGCCGAAGCTTTTTCACGGTGCACACGGAGATGACCACCAGGCTGTTTCCTGCAATGGTCAACAGGGTGATAACGGAGATGACTATCCCAATGACCACTTTTTCCGTGTCCCCATACAGCACGGCATCCTCTCCGCAATCGGTAGAGTCGGTGGCATTGGACAGCCGGGCCCCGGGTTCATTGAGTTGGGAAAGTCCTTCAGTCATGAATGTTGACTTCCAGGAGAAGGCGCTCCTGCTTCGTAGTCTCCAAAAGGAGTGATTGCGGCTCCCAAAGTTGACCGGATTGAGTCTTTATCCACATCTTCAAGCTGACAGCTGCATGGAGAAGAGGAACGGAGCATGAGTTGGCGTTAGCTTTTCATAACCGGGGTGGGATTCTACCTGATCGGACTGGTTCTATAGAAACGGTTGTTACGATTCTGCACAGTTCGGAGAACCGGCAAATGGCGCCACTGGCTGGACCCGCCACTCCACTCCGTACCCACTCACTCCTTACCTGGCATGCGTGCCATCCAACTTGCCTGCCTTGTGCCTTCGCCTAATTTGTAATAAGTTACTATTTTTCCTTTTTTTTCCCGACAATCAGCTTTTCTGACTATCAGCTGTGATATTTAGATTAGCTAGAAAGCGGAAAATTGTTGGATTTCTTGCTTTCTAGCTAATCTACAAGCAGAGCCGAACCTTCCTTAGGACTGAAGCTTCTATTTTTCAGGGCAGACTCGGGCAGCAGATTTCAGAAAGATAGATCTCTGAGTGAATCTGTGATTCTGCGAGCAACTCAATCTGCCTGCCCGCTTTGCCTGATTTGGGGTAAAAGTCGCTCTTTTTTTAAATAAAAAAAAATGCAATATTTACATACATGGTGTGTTGTGAGTTAATTTTGTGAGTTTGCTCGCAAGCAAATTTTATGTGACAGACTCGGGCAGCAGATTTCAGAAAGATAGATCTCTGAGTGAATCTGTGATTCGGTGAGCAACTCAATCCGCCTGCCCGCTTTGCCTGACTTGGGGTAAAATGGCTCCTTTTTTAATAAAAAAAAAGTTCAATATTTACATGAATATTTACAATATTTACCTACAAGCCACGCCCACCCAGTCACGTGACCACCAAGCCACACCCACAAATTAGGCATATGCCCACAGATCTGGTTGTTAAGAAATTTGAATCTCATCCCTGTTCACAACAGTGCAGTGGTGAAATGCTACGGGTTCAGCCCGGTGGGGAAAAAAAGCTCCGACGATCAGAAGAGAAAAGTGCAGGATCGCCCCTGTGCTTTTCCCTTCTTTCTCCCCTCAGCTGATCGGCGCAGCAGAGCCTCAGCTGATGTTTGAGAAGCTGCGTGCATGCGCGAAGTGCGTGATGACCCAACCAGTAGGTAAACTGGTAGAGTCCACAGTGAGTAGTTAGCTACAGTGGATGACCTTGAAGTCAAAGTCATTGTTGTGGTTCGCCGGCAGCAGGTGCGGACGGCTGAGGTCTCGGAGAGCGAGGACTCAGAAGAGGGGCCTGCGTGTGATGCAGGGATGGGGCCAGGACCATCAGTGCTGCCTTCGGAGGTTGTGGAGGCTGGCAGCAGCGAGGAAGAGGACCCCGAGGAGCCTGTGCTCAGTGTGGGTACATGCAGTGTGGGTGCGTGCAGGGCTGAGCAGCTGCAGCAACATGTGAGACTCGGGAGTAAGGCTGCAAAGTGATGAAGGGATAAAAGCCAGCCCTCGGAGGTGGGATTCTTTGCAGGCAGCAAGGACGTTCTTGTACTTCAAGCCTTGTGGAAGTTCGGACTATCCTGGTTTGTGTTTAGAGACCTTTGGTTGTGATTATTTCCTTGCAATTTAATCTCGTGTTCTTGGCAGCCTTGCACAACCTTGACAAGTCTCGTTCTTATCAGAGACAATTAGTTTTTAACAGCATTTTACCGTGAATGAACAAAATTCACAGAGAAGCATTAAAAGGTTTTGCTTTTATCTCTGGGTTTGGTAGTTGTTTGCTTTGAACGAGGCTTGGGTCAGAACAGCCATGGAGATATTTCATCCTTTCCTCCATAAATGTCTGAGGAAGGACCCCAGCTACACGACCACCAACCTGGCAGTCCTCAACTTACAACGGTCCATTTAGTGACCGTCAGAAGTTACCACGGCACTGAAAAAAGTGACTTATGACATAGGACCATTTTTCACACTTTGGACATCCCCATGGTCAGGCGATCCAAATTCCAACACTTGGCAGCTGATGCATATATTTATGACGGTCGCCGTATCCCGGAGTCACATGATCCCCTTTTGCGACCTTTTAAGGAACCAAGTCCATGGGGAAGCCAGATTCACTTAAATGACCGGGTGACTAACTCAATGACTGCACTGACTTGCTTAACAACCATGGAAAGAATGGGGCAAAATTCACTTAACGACTATCCTGCTTAGCAACAGACATTGTGTGCTCAATTATGGTCGTAAGTTG